AATCACCACAATGCCTGTTTGCTCTCCCAATCCTCCAACACTGGACTATCAATTCTCTGTACATACCCCCTGTTTGGAATGCCTTCCATAGAATCATTTTCTTGGCTAGGCCCAGACTGACACAGAAATCATTGTGTTTTGGTGGGGGGGAAGAGGAAAAGAAAGCCAAAAAAGGAGCCAGAGAAGCAGGAGGCAAAGTAGGTATGTTTTGAAACTGAAGAGAAAAGAGGTTTGGGAAGATGGGCATGGTGAGCTGCTGAGAGAGGAGGAAGCTTGAGAAAAAGCTGATGAATACAGAACCAGGAAGAACTGCCAAACCTTCCAGAAGCATCTTCTGGGGATGGCAGAGGTAGGAGTGAGGTAGCTCCATCTTGGGAGAGTATGAAGGGCAGGAAGATTGAGGAGAGGGTTGATGTGGTGCCTGGGCCCCTTACCCACGCAGGAGATAAAAATAGAGACAGTGATGCCCATGTCAGAACTGTTGGTTACCTCTGCAAACACATGGGACCCATGGAGTGGCCACCTGCCCTCCTCCAATAACCCACCCCATGCTGTGCCCCCAGCCCTTCCCCTGACAACAACACATCTGGGCAACTGGCCAAGGGTCCCTTGCTTCTGCAGATGGTCTCCTGATGAACTCTTCCTTTGAAACAGACACATCAAGTTAACAAATGTTTGGCCATTCTACTCTAAGGAAATTCTGGTTGACCTGATTGATTTATGAGCCTGCTTTGCAGAAATTGACTGAGCTGAGATTGGAACCGAGAAGAATTCTTGCAGTTGTACAGAAGGGACCAGGGGTCAAGGGAACCACTGTGATGATACCCTAAGATCTCCCATGTTTGCCATGCTGGCGCCATCTTGTATACACACGATAGAAGTACAACTATGTCACTGGGTGGCACCTTCACAGAATCAGCAATAACCTTCCCTTGCACCTCACTTTTCCCAACTTCCAATCACCTACGTCCATTCAAGAGCTCCACTCCCCCATATCACCCCTGTCTTGGAAAAAATCCCATAAATACTCAGCTCCCCTTATCCTCAAGAAGGTGGATTTGAGAAATTATCTCCTGTCTCCTTGCTTGGTGCCCTGCAGTAAAACTTTCTCTCTGCCACAAAACCGCTGTCAGTGTTCAGCTTACTGAGCATCCAGCAATGACTCCTTGTCCAATAACACCCTTGTGGGTAGGCAAGCATGGGCAGATTACTACTGGCCACCTCTCAGGCCCTGCAGAGGGCTGACTACAGCATGACAGCCAGGGACACCCTGCAAGAGCTGTCATAGCAGGTGCACAGGGTTAGGGGTGTTTTCAAGGTCTTCATGACTTAGAAATCCAGCAACTGTTTATTCAGATCCTCTTATGTGCCAGGTACTTCTGTAGGTGCTAGGGAGTGCAGTGAGTTTAAAGATATCTATTCCGGGCAGCCTGGGTGGCTCAGCAGTTTAAGCGCCTGCCTTCAGCCCAGGGCATGATCCTGGAGTCCCAGGATCGAGTCTCATGTCAAGCTCTCTGCATGGAGCCTGCTTCTCTCTCTGTCTGTGTCTCTCTCTCTCTCTCTCTCCCATGAATAAATAAATAAAATCTGTAAAAAAAAAAAAAAAAGGATATCTATTCCTTCGGGCACCTGGCTGGCTCAGTCAGTAGAGCATACAACTCTTGATCTTGGGTTGTAAGTTTAGGCCACATGTTGGGTGTAGAGATTTCTTAAAAATAAAATTTTTAAAAGAATCAAATTAGGGGTGCCTGGGTGGCTCAGTCAGTTAAGCATCTGCCTTCAGCTCAGATCATGATCCCACAGTTCTGGGATGGAACCCCACATAGAGTTCCCTACTCATTGGGGAGCCTACTTCTCTCTCTACCCCACCTTTCCCCTGCTCATGCTTTCTCCCTCTCTCTCTTTCAAATAAATATAATACTTTTAAAAACTAATAAAAATTAATTAATTAAATTAAAAATCTATTCCTTTAAGGAGCTTACATTCCTGTGGAGGGAGACAGGCAATCAAAGAAACACGAAGGGCAGGGCCCGAGAAGTGCTCTGAAAAAAAAAAAATACAGCAAGGTGAGTGAGGCAGGAAATGTGGGATGGAGTGCTTGTTTCATACTGGGCCAGGTCGGGCAAAAGATGACAAGGCAAAAAGTGAGCAGAGGCCTGGAGGAAATGGGGAAGAGTACAGAATGTTCTGGAGAGCAGTGAAAATTAAGGTAGAGTCAGGAGACAGGGTATTTGGTGTAGTTCAGGAAACAGCAAGGAAACCAGTGGCTACCAGTAGCCACTCTGTAGCTACAGTGAACAGACTGACAGGAAGGATAGAAATTAAGTCAAGGAGGGTCAGGCTTCCAGTCCATGATGAGGACTTCAGCTGTTGCTCTGAGTGGAGGTTTGGAGCTGAGCAGTGATGCATCTGATATTCACTGAAAAAGGTTGCCTGTGACCACAGTGTGGAGAAGACACTGTAGGGGGTCAAGATGATCCCTCCATTCTTAGAACAATGTTGCTAAAATAGGAATAAAAAATTAGAGAGCAAAAGGGAGCACCTGGGGGCTCAGTTGATTAAGGCCCACATTGGGCTCCTTGTTGGGCATCGAGCCTGCTTAAGATTCTCTCCTACTCTCCCTGCCCTCTAGCTCTGCTCGCCCACACACACTCTCTCTCTCTCTCAAAAAAAAAAAAAGGCAACCCCCACAAATACAGGCTGGTGCTCAACTGGCTGGGTGCCAAAAATAATAGAAGAAAAGCTGTATGTCAGAGTTGGCTACACCCTAAACATGAATTAGTAGTCATGCCATGTAGCAAACAGGTAATCCCGGAATATGTGACATCTGACCCATAAAGACTAAGACGCTGACTCTGTGCCATGGCTGGAATACACAGGGCCCTGAACCGCACAGTTGCCTTATGTTTGAATGCTTCCCACCTGCCCTGCAGCCCAGACCTGTTTCTTCCATAGGTGCTTTCTCCCAGTGTTTTCCCCTTTCTCCTGGCTGGGCTTGCAACGCTGTCATTCATTCAGCAATACCATGTGTAAAATGTAATGAGGAGCACCACGGGAGAGTCTCTGATAAGAACTTGAAGCTTGAATCTTTTATTAATTGTACCTCGAGAACTGTGTCTGCTGTGGGTACAAATCTCTCTCGTTACCCCCTTCTGGTTCATCCTCTCATGGAGGGCTTTTCTCTCACCCTTGGGACATATGCCCTGCCAGACAAAGGTCTCCCCTGCAGCTGAAAATCACAGGATTCTATCTGGGTCAGGCCCGACAACCTAGTCTCAATCTGCACACAAGTGAAGATATTCAGGCCCAGGGTGGGCAGAATCGTGCGGGGAACCAAGGAATCTTTACCTTCTCCCCTCTTACCTCAAGCTCAGGTGCTACATGGTTGGAGCAAGGCCAAAGTGTAAAGGACCCACAGCCGGTCCTTGTCACCTTTCCTTGTAGGTAATGGAGAAGGAAGTCCCTGAAGAGTCCTGGATCCAGAAAGAATGAAACCTTGAAGCAAGGGACATTGAGTGGCTGAGTCGCACCAGAATACTTGAGCCAGTTTCTACCCTGCAGAGAGGCAGGAACAGGTCCCTTCTCCAGAGCTTGGAGATCCCAGCCCTGAGTATTCCCAAGGGTCTGTGGCTCTGTGTCCAGCCTCCTGCTCTAGAGCTCCAGACAGAGCCCTGCACACTGGACACAACCAGCCAAAGACTCTGAGAGACCACAGGGGCTAGGGACAAAGCCCCTAGCCCAGAAACTGTGGCCAAGAGCCCTGTGTTAGCTGCGTGGCCTCCAACTAGCAGGAGCTAGAGGCAGGGAAGAAGGGGAGGCCAGAAACAAGGACTGCTGGACCAGACAAGTGTCACCCACTCTGCCAGGCTCTTCCTTGGCTGTGCAGCTTAATTCTCTTCACACTTGTTAGGCATGACTATGCCCAGCAGAACAGATAAGAAGAAATCTGGGTCTCAGACTGGTCCCATATCTTGTCCAAAGACAACACACACTACAGACTCCAGAGCCAGTGCAGTGCAGACTCCTGTGCTGCTGAGAAAAACCCCCTGGAGCCTTTTCAAGGGCCCTAGCCACCTGTGTGGAGCCTGTGGACAAGCTCAGACCTAAGTCTGAGTGTCTATCATGAAGAGTTATTGGATAGTTGAATGTCAAGTGACTTCACAACACCCCCACCCCCACCATCATCAGCACCCACACCCCTGCCCCAGGGGCCCCAGGCCTTCTGCCCTTCCCATCCTAAACTGGCCAAATCCCAAACCCAACTGATAATGGGTTTTACTAGCATGAGTGCATTCCAAAGGGAGGAGAGTCCAGCCCAGTTGGAGCTACCACAGTGGCCAGAAGCTCATCCCTCTAGTGCACTGGGCTTCTTTCTTTGTCTCACTCCCACCAATACTCTCCCTTTTTTCTTTCTTTCTTTGTATTTTTTTCAAGATTTTAAAAAATTTATTTATTCATGACAGACACAGAGAGAGGCAGAGACATAGGCAGAGGGAGAAGCAGGCTCCTAGCAGATCGATCACCAGATCCAGATCACGCCCTGAGCCCAAGACAGACACTCAACTACTGAGCCACCCAGGCATCCCTCTCTCTTCTTTCTGCAGCAGATTCCCACACCGGTGGAGCCTAGCATAAGGAACAGTCCCCATTCGTCACAGTTTTGCTGCGCCCCCACACCTCTCTCCCCTCTCCCTGGTTGCCTCCTCCTCACCAGGGCACCAATTTGGCTGGAATAACTTGAGCTTTGAGTTTCAGAACGAGTCCAGAAAACCCAGTAGCCCAGTGTAATCTTGGAAAGGCTAGCAGCCCCAGAGGTCAGGTGACCGCCTCTGGTTTCTTATTGTTCCTCAGGCTTTGCTTAGCACCAAATTGGGATCCCTGCCCTCTAGGCCAAGGGGTCAGGGAATGGGGGAGCAGCAGAACCACAAATAACACAATGTAAGAAACTCCAGAGCTGCCCTAGGCATAGAGTCCCATGTTCTGCTTGGAGAGTGGCCCGCACCACTGCACGGGGCTGCTCAGTCCTCGCTAAAGGGTGAAGTCAACTTCACCTTCTCCATGTCTCACATGATGACCAGGCTGCAGCTTGCTGCCTATTCCAGGCTCACTGGAAAGCTATGAAGCAAAGAACAGACCGGACAGGTAAGTGTGCTTGTATAAGCAGAGATTCTTTAGGGTGGGGTGGAGGTGACCTCATGGTATGAAAGCCCTTGTTATTCCACCTAACACTTGTGCCAGAGCACATTCTGGTCTCTATGGTCACCTAAGAGCAGCCTTGCCCAGGAGGCCCTGGAACCTAACCAGCAGAACTGGGTCTGTGGCTGCCAGGCCCGGGAAGGACTTGCACAAGGGCAAGGGGGGAAACGGTGGGGCCCCTGCAGGCTCCATGGGCCAGATGGAGGAAGCGCTTTACCTGAAAAGGAATTTCACAGGTGTGGAAATCCGCCCATGCTGCTTCTCAGCACACAGCATTTTGAACAGTCGTTCCCAGTTTTCTTCAAAGATGTCAGTTCTAAAATATTTTTTTGATTTTCCTATTTTCACCAGAGAGAGTCAACTAGGTGCGAATGTGCCTTTACCAGGTGCTCACCTCCCATTTAATAAGGAAGTTCTTTGCGAAGAAGCAGTTGAAACCTCAGGGGGTGAAAATCTGATCCAAAAAACAAGACGAGTGAACTACCGAGTCCAGAGCGAACACCAGGAACCAGGAAGCCTGAAGCAGAATGTCCCATGCAGACCTAAGTGGGAACATTAGTTAGTTCAACCCTGCTGCCTTCTTCCCTTCGCCTGGCTGCCAAACCCCTATCTTCATGTACAAATGGAAACCATTATCATGAGATAAAGGGAATACTAATGTGGGATTTAGGAATGCTCTTGATATTTCCTTCCTAGCTGATGTGTTGGATGACTGTGGCCTTGACTCTTGGCCTCTCCAAGCCCCCAGCTTCAAAATCCCAGGGGCCCTAACCTCACCTCTCAGATGCACATGCACAGGGGCTATGGCTTAGTGCAAGTGGTGGTGAGGGAAGACTCAGAGCGGCACACTGGCAGAAAATAATTGGTTTCCTCTAGCTCTTGTGTGTCCTCCCCCTGCCACCACCCATGGCTCAGAGGTATGGGTTTCAAGCCTGCTGGCCTGGGACCAGCCTGCCTTCCCCTGATTCTCTGCTCCCATGCCAGTCATTTAAAGCACACAAACATGCAGACCTCAGTGTGAGGCAGGGTATCTCGGTGTGCACCCAAATCTAGTGCAGTCCTGCTGACTGCTCAGGTGGTTAGAGGGCTGCCCATCCTCCCTCCCTGATCCCAGACCACTCTAGGGAAAACTCAAGCTCTTTCTCCCAGCTCCAGGGGATGATACAGAGGGTCCAGCTCCTTAGCACAACCCCCAGGACCATCTATGTTTACCACACTAAGCTGCTCCCCCACAATACCCACAGAAAGCAAATGAAATGGGCTGAGGAGGGATGAGAGGGTACCACAAAATGCTGGACTTGGAGGCATGTGAATCCCCCTTTCAGAATCTCACAAAAAAAAAATATTGTCCTCTCCCAAGGGAGGGGTGGGGAACAGATACCCATGCCCCACTTGCCCATTTTGGGGGGGGGGTCCCTTGGTTCATGGACCCCAGGTTAAAAATCCCTGCTCCATAGTGGCCTCGGTCCCACAGAGAGTGTAGAGAAAGAAGCAGAACTGTGTTCTCAAACATCTCTTTCCCTTTTCAGCAAGCCAAACCTGGGAGTTGCAAGAAGCGGGAGGGGACAGCCATCCAGAACATTCTGGAATCACAATCTGAGGAGCAGAGGGGAGCTGTGTGTGAAGCCAGCAGTGGCCAGCAGAGGAAATGCAGGGTCTGGCTGCAGGCCATTCGTACCCTAGCTCCCACCATCAGGATCTCCGGCCCCATCCTGACCCCTGGTGGCTGCCCAAGGATGAGGCGGGCACTCTTCCCCAGCTCCACCCTGCCTGGTCCCAGAATAACAGGAAAAATGATTCCCGCACCCCACAGGTTGTGGCTAGGGTCCCCAGGAAGCACCAGCATGTTTCCTGGGGGTCCCTCAGGAGGGTTTAGCCCACTGAAGTCCCCAGGTGCTTCCTTTGTATAAGTCCAGCAACCGATCAAACAAATGTATATAAAGAAAGCACATTCACCTGTCATGTTGGCAAAAGGTGTGTTACAGAAGGTGTGTGTGTGTGTGTGTGTGTGTGTGTAACTAAAGGTCAGTGCAGGTCAGGGTGCAACAAGACCAGCACTCTCGTGCACAATTGATGAGAGTACAAATTTGTACAACCCTTATGCAAGTGATTCAAGCAAAAGAAATCCAAAATCTTACAAAGTATTTCTACTCTCTGGCCCAGTGAGTCTACCGTTAGGAATCTGACTTCAAAAAATCAATACTCAAATAACATGATACTCAGAATTTGAAATATATGGGAAAGGAAAAAACAAGATGAGCCAAGCATGATAATTGCTGAGGCTAAATGATAAGTACATCAGAGTCCTTTATTTTGGTTTTGGGGTGTTTGGTCTACTTTGGTATACATTTGAAATTTCCCATGATAAAACATTTTTAAAATCAGGGGGACACCTGGGTGGCTCAGTGGTTGAGCGTCCACCTTTGGCTCAGGTCGTGATCCCAGGTTCCTGGGATTGAGTCCCACATCAGGCTCCCTGCAAGGAGTCTGCTTCTCTCTCTGCCTATGTCTCTGCCTCTCTCTGTGTGTCTCTCATGAATAAATAAAATCTTAAAAAAAAAGCATCAGAGATACAAAGATTTGTATCAAAGATATTAATTTTTGATCACAAACCTGCACAAATGGCATAAAAAGTGCTATCCTGGTATGGTTAAACAGAACACACTGTATCCAAACAGTGGAATATTATGCAGCCATTAAAAATTCCAGGATGCTTTAATGCCATGGAAAAATGCTTAGGCTGTAATGCAAAGCAAATAAGTAGGAAACAAAATCGCATGTTCAGTATTTAATTATGTTAAATAAACAGGGCATACAAGGAAGACAATATAAAAATACACTAGCATGTTTCTTATACAGTGAGACTAGGGGTGATTTCTATTCTTGATATTGTCCTTTATTTTCTTAGTTTTACAATAAGCATGTTTTATTTTTATAAACAGGCACCCAAATTGCCTTTGTTGGAGTATATACCAACTTGCGAGTTTGAGCTATACTCAACTCCAAGGGCTCCCATATATTAGCTGTGCAACATTGAGTAAATTAACATCTGGGTCCCAGACTCCTCACCTATAAAACTGGCATAATGCCAACCTATTTTTCAAGCCACCACTTACTGGGTATTTACTATGCATTAGGCACTATGCCCTGTGGGTCTTCCTTTATATATAGTCCCAACGCTATTCATACATGATTATTTCAGTCCTCACAACAAGCTCTAGAGCTGATTAGCGTATTTCCCTCTTAGAGCTCTGCATACTGCAGCTCAGGAAAGTTAGGGGTTCCTCTAGCTAATAAGCAGTATGGTCGGGATTCAGACATAGGTCTGTCCATTTCTGAAAGCCCAGTTCTCAGCCTCCAGCCTGGGCTGCTTAGTTAGTTTCATTGGAGCACTGAGGCAGTAACACAGGTGTGGTGCCACACACAGCGTCTGGTTCTAAGCACAGAGATGCTTTACTCCTTCTGGATTCCCTTTTCTATGACCCCAGCATAATGGTAAATTGTGGCAAAACCAGTGCACTCCCAAAAAAAAAAGTGTTTCTGCCTTAAAAGAAGGGATGACAGGACCTATAGGGACAGACCAGATTGGGGCTGGAAGACTGCCTCATCCAGTGGGGTGGCAGGGACCGTGCGCCCAAGTTCCAGGGGAGTTCTATCAGTGATTTCTTCAGCTCTACGCATGGGTTTGCAGCCCAGAATTCAGTACAGAGTCATCCCTACCTTCCACCTACCCCTCCCATCCTTTCTCCCTAAAGAACAGGGCACAGGTCTCACCTTGCTTTTCTTTTATTGTCCACCACCCTCCACCCCCCGCAGAAAACGCAGGCCTGAATATCTCAGCAGGAGCAACGTGATGGAGCTCGGCCTGCTCCAGAATCCCTTCTGGATTCATCTCAAATGTCTCTTTCCCTAGGGAGCCAGCCTAAGTTAGTTTTCATCCCTACTCCCTATTTCTACCCTCAGACTAACTACGCTAGAGTTGCTTGTTAGTCATGTCTGTTTCACTAGGAAGCTCCATGAGGGTGAGACTGTACCTCTAGCACCTGCAGTGTGCCTGGTACACAGTAAAGTATGTAAATGTTTGCTAAAGGGAGGGAGGGACAAAAGGAGGGAGGACTTCCCCACCCTCAGTCTTAGCCCAAGTAGACCCACAGCTGCCTTGTTCTGTGCAAAGCACTTTGAAGATGTGGTCCCTGCCCCAGAGACTTAACATACATTTCTCCAATTTTGATCCACCTTTAGGAAAATAAATTTCAAGGGACGTTGCTGTTTATTCCAAACCTCACCCTCTTTATTTTGCTAAAATACTCAAAATAGAGTTCCGGAGTCTGAGGGAGGTTCCCAAGTGTATGGAATCCTGGGAGGAGTTACAGGGCTCAGAGGTCTAACATCTAGGGTTCTAATCCTAGCTTTGCCATCTCTGCTGTGTGACTCTAGTGAGTGGCTTTCCCCTCTGGGCCTCAGTTCTCTTTGTACAATGATGGAGGGGATCAGACTTTGTAGGAAAATGAAAGCAATTGAGTACATCTGACTACTGATCGTGGCATGTGTACTTGGACAGTGTCTTCCCTCCTGAATGCTGAGGAGCGGGATGGAGGCAGCATCTCACCCATAAGCTGAGAGGCAGGGAAGAGAGTATGTGCCTGCTTCTGTCTGTAAACAATGAGGCCCAGGGTGTGCTGCCCCTCTTGGGAATGGCTGGAAGGGTGGTGGGCTGGAGGGGCCTTGGTACAATAGAGGCCCCCCAATATGTCTCTGTGTCTTAGCTTCTAGGTTTGCAAATGCTCCGAAGCCCCAAAGTCTTCATGTCGATACCAAGCATGACCCCCACCCCCACCCCCGTTCCCCTTGAAAACTACCCCTCTTGCCCCTTCCCTTCGAGGGATAACCCAGGGAGAAATAGTTGCTGGGCGGTGGAAGGTAGTGAGGTCTAGGCTTCCTGCAGATCCCCATTTCAAGCTTCCTCAGAAAGTGCAAGTAAGGGAACCCCCTGGTCCCTCTGCAGCAGTTACCCAGGGAGGACAGTGGACTTGGTGGACACAGGCATCCATGCCCAAAGGTTTCCTGGCTTCAATCCAAGCAGCTGGCAGGTCCATCCTTCTCCCTGGAACCCTGCAAACACCACTTCCGGCCCTCCTGCCTCTGCTTTGGCTCTTCCTGCTTGGATTTCTATGCCCATGCCAGCCCTTCCCTGTGCAGAGCTTAGCTTTCTCTCTCCCTTACAACCCTTATTCATTCTCACTCTCCCTATTTCTTTCCCCCTCTTCCTCCCCAGCTTCTCTCCAGCTTGCCAACCCTCAGCAGCCCCAGAATGGGTCTTTCCCCCTCCCTCCTCCAGCAGCATCTCCCCCTCCTTAACTCTCACCCCTGCACCTCTTTCTTTGTATTCCTCTCGCCCTCTCCCGGTCTCGCCTGCATCTCTCCTCCCCCGCCTGGCTTCGGCCTCCCCCAGCCTCCCCATCTTCAGCTCAGTCTCCTCCCTCTGGCTCTGCTCCCCTCCCCTCTCCCCCCCCCCACCCTCGGTCTCACCCCACTCCCTGCTGGCATCCCAGAGTTTCTTTCCACCCTGGGGGTCTCTGCGCCTCTCATTCTCCTCTCTACCTGCCTCCTCCCTCTCCTTAGGTTTAGCGGGCACCCATCTTTTCCAGCCTGGGCACCCCCCCCTCCCAACTGCTAACATCGCCACTGTGTCTTTTTCCTCTCCTCCTCTCCCCACCCTCTCCTCTTCTCTCTTCTCCCTGCCCCTTTAAATCTGCCTGGCCCAGCCTCCCCCGTGATGCTGGGATGGAGCAAACATTGATTTGTGCTGGGATGGAATCGGAATTTTGATTTTTTTTTCCTCTCCCAACCATAAGAAGGAAAAAAATAATAAAAAAACACCCCCTTTTGATAGCCCCCTCTCCCCATCCAGTTCCCAGCTCCTCTTCCCTATCTCCATCCGAGGCAGATTTTTCCCCCTCCACTATTCTCATTCCCTCCCCACTACCTCGCCCCTCACCCCCACCGCCTGCTCCTCCAGCTGGGGAGAGAGGGGACTCTCTCTTGCGGCTCCCCCACCTTCGCTCTCTGGGTAGGAGCAGTCTCTCCGGAAGGGGAGGGGGCTTTGGCTTGTCGGGACGAGGTGGGAGTGGAGGTATCCTGCCATGGATGCTGTGCCTGGGAGGCAGCCTGAGCCCCAGCCCACATGGTGAGTAACCTGCCCCCTCCCTTCCGCCTGTCTGCCCATCCCCACCCTCGCCTTTTCCCTGCGGAGCCTCCTCCATCGCCATCCTTTCCCCCACCAAACCCACTGCCCACCTTGCTCCGATCCTCCCCTACCTTTTCAACCCCCGTCCCTTGCCTGGGAAGCCACGGAACAGGGGCAGAAGGCTTCTGACAGCAGCCAGAGGAGCGGGTGGCCTACGACTCTGCCCAGCCCCCTCTTAGGGACCACCACCACCACCACCCCCACCTCGCCAGCTACTGCCATCTACGCTCGACTTTTTGGGGTTCTTGGCTGGAGAAGGGGGACTACCGCTGGGGGTTGGGGCCCCAGGTCCTGGGAGGGGCCCTCTACAGGGAGGGAGGGGTAGGGGAGCCCCCATGCCTCCAAAGCTTAGGAGCTGCTGGAAGACGCTGTCGAAGGGTGGGGGCTTGGGGGGCGGTGCTGATGCCCCAGAGCCACTGGGCCAGGGAGCGGCGGGCAAAGAGGAGGGGCCTCGCTCGCCACTTCCCCCCTCTTTCTCCGCAGCCACTCAGGATGAGGGTCCGGCCCTGCCTGCCCGCGCTGGGGCCCCCCCGCCCGGCCCCGGTCTAACT